TTTTTTTCTCTTAACCCCTTTCCACTCACTTGTATTTATATTACATACAAGAGAGAAAAATAAGAAAGGAAAAACATATATAGAATACAAGAGAATCCAATAACCAACTAACAATAATAAAGAGTTAGTTGAGAAACTGTTTTTACTTAATTCTGTTTTAGAGTCACACAGATCAACATGACAGAGGACCCCCGCATACCTGTGAGTATGTTGAATTGGTTGCTTGACTAACTCCAAAGCCATTTTTGAGTCTGAAACCAAGAGAACAGATAGATACCTTCTAGTCCAACATAATTGAAGACCATGTAAAATAGCTAACAATTCAACTTTAAGGCTAGTAGCCATTCCAATATCTCCCTTAAATCCCCATAACCACTTGCCATCAGAATTTCGAACTAAACCTCCAAAACCTGCAGGTCCTGGATTCCCAAGAGAGCTTCCGTCAACATGAACACTCACTTGAGGACCTTCTGCCAGCACACATGAAACCCACTCGGGGACTTTGCAGGTTGGTGTCGCCTCCTTACAAGGTGCAAAGCTAGTTTGCATGATTGTATATAGCTCACGAATATGTCGAATTTGACTCCACGGCTTTCCAACGAGCCCGTTAAACACATGCCTATCGGGGGGCTAGTGTACTAACCGTACTTCGCACTCGGGCTCCAAGCCCGGATTGGTAATACAAAACAGCCCCGGGCACGTGATGCGCGACGTCAGCCCGTTATTTGAGCAAATCATACCTGATTCCAAGGATCTCGTCCCAAACCAGATCCGCCCTTCAATCATATCATATCATATCATGATATATCTTATCTCAAGCCCAAAAAGGCCCAAGGCAAACCTAATTCACTCCAAGGTACGTGCATTACTTATACAAGACTATTACACATACAAACCCTAACTTTGACATTTGAGTCTCTTTTGCAGGTACCTCCCCCATCTTGGAACACCAATACATCAGGTAAAGGAGGCTCATCGATCTTACTGGACGGGTCACCTCTACGACCAAATTCCGGTAAGAACAATTACTAATTTTATTTAAAATTATTTTACTTTTTGTCATTTTTAGTTATACATTATCTCACTTGATCTACATATTATAATTTATATTATTTTTATTTTCTATTTTTTATTATTCTTAGACAAAATACATAGAAACATAAAATGTTTTGATCCGTTAATAACAAATAAAAATAAAATTAAAAATATTTAAAATAAATACAAATAAATCAATTAAAAAGTAAATGTGTCTTAAGAAAAGTGAAAACTAAAAAATAAAATCCTCTTTATCCTATTTTATAGATAAATAATATAGAAGAGGGAAAGAATCACTCTGCATTTCGACATATTTATTTAAGAAAGTAAAAATAAAAATAATATATTATTAAAAAGATAAGATGGTGATTTTATTCATTAATTATTTAACACCGACCTTGTTAAAGTAGATAATGTGCAGTTATTAAAAGAGTTTTTAATAATAAATAAAAATAACAATAAAAATATTTTATATAAATAGATAAATAAATCTTTAAAAAATGTAATATACTTTATATATAATATAAATATATAAGTATATTATTAGTATAAAATATTTATTAACTTTATTAATAATTAATTTCTATAAAAAAATTGATTAAATACTTTTAGTATAATCTTTTGATTAAATACTTTTAAGTATAATCTTTCTGCTTCTGAAATACATTTTTTTCATACGTAATTTAAATTAAAACTGCATCTGAGAAGATGAATTTAAGTACCCTGAGACACTTATCATGACTAGAGCCATTTTGCCAAATTGATGAATAAAACACAAAATAGGTTCCATGTACCAACAAATTTGCCTCATTTTGACATTAATTGCTTTATTGACAGTGACGCCGGGATCTATTTTCTAGTTACGGATAAGATCATCATGTCACCAACCATCCAAATTAGGGTCAAAAAACGGGATGTATTTATTAGTTAGCATTGATTTGTCTAAAATTATGAATAAATTTTTATTGAGAATTGGAAAATCATTTCTCAATTATTTAATTGTGTGCGTTTTTTTTTTTTTTTTTTTAAATTGCTTCTCCATTAACACTTTTGTATATTATACTTGTTGGGCTTAAAGTTTGTTACATTTTTATATTTAATTTTGTATTTATTTATGATTTTGTAAGTGGTTCCGTAGATCAAAGGGATGGGTGTTTAAAATTGTCATTGGCCTCAATTAATAGTCAATGTGATTGTGAGGGAAAAAAGTAGTAATCATTGGTCGAGGCAAAGGGACTAGAAGGATCGACAACTCTCACATCAACATGTGATCTAGACTCTCCATTTAGGGTTAATATTTTGTTCGAGTATTTTTTTTTTTAATTTAACAAGAGGTATAATCTTATTGTTTACTTTATTCTTGTGTGTCATATTAATCTTGTCTTTTAAAAGGTATATGTCGATGAAATGAAGATATTTATAAAGATTTTAAAAATTATGTACTTTTGAAGTTTTATAATTTTAAATTTAATAATATAAATAAAGATATTTAATATAATATTAAAAATGTTTTAAAGTTATCGTTTTCCCCTTAAAATCCCTCAATATTAAAGTAAATTTGAAATTATTTTAAAAGAGTTTTGTTACTCTTCTCTCCTAAAAATAAAAAACTAATTAAATAATAATTTTTTTTTTAAATTTCTCCTTTTCTCTCACATCCAAACAAACACTGTGTTAATGATATGTTTTAGTTAAAAAATTTATTTGTTGATTTATATATAATTTACGATACTAACAAAAGTCGATTATAATAACTTGATGAATGAGTATTCAAAATTTTATGAGAAAATATGTCTATATTTAATATTTAACTATGTTTCAAATAATGTATAATATTATTATAATATAATTTGGGTTATTTTTCTTTTATCTATTTAAATAATTTACTTAGATAATGCAATTACGAAGCGGAACATGTTTGTGACACTCATTCTACCTCCAACACATATAATAATAAAATAACTAATAAATTATCAAAATTTTAGGTAAAATGGTTCACAAATAAAATCTCCAAATAATTGTCTAATTGAAAAATTAAAATTTGAAAATAATAGTTTGCAATTCTATTTAAATAAAAAAACATGAAGTCCAGATACAATAAAAATTATCATATAAAATCCCTCGCTCTGATGTCACACTATTAAAACAATCTCTCAACTCAACTGTTGGCACCTTGAGTGCCACTCACATCCAGATCTTCTTCACCTAAAAATAATCACAAAATGTACGATGAAAAAAGAAGACATTCTATATACAAACCACAATAGGAAAATCCAATCAATACACCCTTAATTAAATAAATATACACAATTAAACCTCTATCAATCATACTTCATATTATCAATTCTAAGTTCAGTCAATTTCCATTACCACATTATAGTTTAAGTATGCACCATGTCACACATCTAGCACCATCTCACGCACATGGCAATGCCAATACATCCAACATTGTGTCACGCACATGCTTGTGTCAATGCATCACACATCCAGTACCATGTCACGCACATGCTCGTGTCGATGTATCAAACATTCAGTACCGTGTCATGCACACTCCTATGCCAATGCATCATACATCCAACACTATGTCATGCACACACCCGTCCAACACCGTGTCACACACACGCTCGTGTCAATCTTGCATCCGATATGAGTAAAACATAAACCTTTGATTTGAGCCATGCCTAACACCATGAAGGTGTGCTCGACATGATGATGAGTTTCGCACAAAATCACTACTACAAGATGTATATTCTACATCGGTTCTTTAAAGTCATCTACATCGGTTCTAAAATCGATATAAAATAGAGCGATGTAGAAAATGTATACATTTTTACATCGGTTCTGAAAAACCGATGTAGATTTAAGCATAAATCTACATCGATTCTCTGGACAACCGATGTAGATTTAAGCATAAATCTACATCGGTTCTCCAGAGAATCGATGTAGATAATTACCTTAAATGAACATATATATAGCTTTAGAAATTTCATATTTCATATTTAATCCCCAAGGAGCTGGTTAGGAGCAGTAACCAAACTGAAGAAAGAATATGAAATAAATACAATAATATGAACTTCTAACGGGGGAACCAAAAAAACCCTCTGAGCAGATTTTCCTTAATCTTTCCAATATATATAATTCTCAGCCAGGAATTTACAGCTACCACAAAAGTATAAACAATCAAATAAACCAAATATACACAAGTATAAATACAATAAATAAGGAATTTCCAATATATACACCATGTAAAGCTTTTCAGGGACCTTGAATGCTTGATTTTCATCCCGCAAGTGATGTCAGAAATTCCATCACCTGCAGATACAATACAACATTGGTTAAATTATGACATCAAAAAGCAATATCAATATAAACAATCAAAAAGTAAACTAAACTTAGATTCTTAAAATAAAAAAAGTAAGGCCAGGGAGTGCTTTATTTTCTTAAATGGACTAGTTCATCTAATTAGATTCAGATTCAGTTCAAAAAATAAGAAAACATACAACTTACAAATTAATTAAAATCAAGAGAATTACCTGAAGCAGCCTTAACCAGTTATCTGCAGCCTGCAAGAGAGAATTTGATAGTTGACTCTCACTAACTCCATTTTGCATCCAAATAGATCCCTTTAACTTATAAGAAGCCATTGCGAAAGTTCGTAAGGAAATCTTTGGTACACCATCCATGTCATTTGGATAAACCAAAATTGGAGCCCGAGTACCTCCATTTCCTGCAAAATGTAATTAAAAACAGTTCAAGAAATAATGAATATTGCTCATAAAGTGTAATCATCTTCACATTTTTGCAATAAACCATTGCTTATACATTAGAAACCGAGATAAAATCAATCAGCAAGCGATCTATGACTAGAATCAATTTTCCTGTTCTTATTTGACAATTCAAATTATGTCTTTCAGAGTGCCATGCTTCTAACAAATTGTTCCTTACGAGTTTGTCTTTAATTTTGATTTTTTTTAGCATTTATATATGTGTAGCACAAATTATTTAATCTACATAAAAAAATTCAATATATGACCATCCCTCTATGTGTTATGCCACTACAACATTTTTAAGATTGGCTGCTATGCGCCACCATCTGGGATTGATATACTATGGTAGATGGACCATCTTTCATATTTAACTATAAAAAAAAATAATATTCTTTTATGCTAATCTTTATGTTCTTGAGATGTGGTAAATGGGAAAAGAGGAAAAAAGTTTAAAATGAATTAGTAACTCTAATAATAACGAGCCCAAATGAGTGCTGAATCTTGACACTAAAATGTGTGTATACATCCAACAATAATGAGCCTATTAAATTGCCGAATCCTGATAAACAAGAACTACAATGCCACTGTAGATCAAACATAGGGTTAAAAGATCCATGATTATTACCTGTCAAGGGTGTATGGAGTGTATGGTATGTAAGAAAGCAAGCATCTAAATCTTTTAATGTTGGACCAGTGGGTATTCGATATATAGGATACCTGAAAGATGCCATTAAAAATGTTAGTTGGCAAAGAATACAACACTAACGCAATAGATCAAGTTATTCTCACCATGCTACAGACATCCAACTTGCTGGCAACAAATCACAACTTCTCAGTGACTTGAGGCTAGGATAGTGGCGTGTAAGATCAAGTATCTGTCCAAACATAATAAAATATAATATGGACGGTTCAAATTAACTGCAAATAAGCCAAACAAGCATTAATCGAGACCAGTACTAACCTTGTCGGTCAATGGTTCACGGCTATAAGGAGGAGTGTGATCAAAATACTCAAAAAGAAGATCTTGAGGATTCCCAGTTTCACTATCATCGCTCGAAAATCCCTCTTGCATTGTACTGTGTTTATCGTATACAGACAACCTGTTCATTTGAAACAAAGCATCACCTATCCGATATTGACTATTTTTTTGTGTTGTAGAAAGTTCAGTCCTTTTTCCAAATTCACTATCACTGCTGTCGTCGCTGCTCGAATCTATGTAATAATCACCATCGCTATCTTCGCCACTAAACCTAATGACAAAACAAAATGAGATATGGTTACAAACTAAAGCACAATAGCACATTCTTCAGCAAAATTAAAATTCATAATGGCATAGAAGCAGCAATGGATTAACATACTATGAAAATTGTAATAGTAAGTTCACTTATACTAAATCATAGACACTATACAGGAAATTAGTGGCCAGAACAGGGGAAGAATAAAGAAAGAATACAATGTTTAAAAGGTTTTCAATAACTGAGATTAAAAATAGTCATGGTTTACCAAAAGCCAAACCAATTGGTAGTATCTAAAGACCAATTCAACATAGCACAAAAGAGATCCATGAAGCACCTCACGGAAAAAAATTATATGTTCAAATATAAGAGAAATTTCAATATTCCCTCAAATGCTGCCTGCCTTCAAGAACCTCACACTCAACAACTATTTAATTTAAATTCACAGCTTAAAGAATGTTGTTTTACAAACGATGAAAGGGAATGAAAAATGAAGCAAACAAAATCCAAGGAAAATTGTTAGAGGCTCAGGGCTGCACCAACAGTAAGTGAGACTTAAAGCAAATTTTGAGATCATTTTTTTTCTTTAAATGAAAGAGATATATATTAGGTCTTTTTTCCAACATAGGAGACATTTTGTCAACATGTGTAACCTTTTATTTTATAAAATCTAATAGCAAATAATTTTTTGTTTGTAGGCCTAATTCCTAAAGCTTAAGTTTTAATTGCCTTACTACTCTTGGGCCGGAATTTTCGTATAAAGAGATATAGTGGTAACTGCAAAAGGATTTGTGATCTCTTACAATGCAAGGATAACCAATTTTCCATGGTAAAGAAAAATCAGAATTAAATCCATCTTACTCACTATAATAACCAGTTCCTATCCTAATTCTTCCTGATTTTCGAACGTAGACTATTTTCAAGTCTTTAACTTTTGATATCCACAACACACATTAATATCAAGCTCCTGGTAAAAAAAGTAGTAACAAATAATATTACCTGCAAACAACTTAAATTTCATAATTTAGCTTGAATCCAGCACAGCAGCTACTACTACACATATATTTCCCAGGAGCGAGTTAAGTGACAGTTTGCTAATTATTCATTAACGTGAGTTAAGCTTAACACATAATGATAGAAAATTTTCAATCAGCCATCAACATTTTTCTCTTGAAAGAAGAAAATTAAACAAATACATCCGATCTCAAAACCTTCATCTCTCCACATTTGTTCCTCACAGAAGACCAGGTGCCTTCCTTAACAATCACAGATATATCAATCAAGGAATTACCTCAACCGGAACCGTGCGGTCACCAGCAACACTTAGCAAGTAGTCTTCATTATTCCATTTCATCTTGGCCGGCCAGTGAGCCATACAATCACTGATAATAACCGGGGAGCCAGACAGGTAATGATCCTTCAGAAATTTCTCCAACGACAGCTCTAATTTCTTCACCACAAGCTTAGAAGAAAGTGACTTCATAGGTAAAAGTTGGAGCACCTACAGTGTAAAAAGCTATAACATAAACGTTAAAACACAAGAACCGGCAATACATACAACAAACGCAGCCATAACACATAAATAATCAAATTCCAATATTAATGAATAATCAATCAATGACGCTAACACTACATGTTCTATTAAAAAAAAAATAGTTTCGATTAACATGAATATTTAGCTATTTAAATAAAATTCATGATTGAGATTTGGCAAATGCTGATTAAAACTGAACGATGAAAGAGAACAAAGAGGAACGAACCTAACCTCTGCTACATTAAACGCGCGATCCACGAGTCGGTGCTCGGAGTTCCCCAAATCGGAAACCCTAGCGCCGCTCCTCCGTGTTTCGCCGCCGAGTTCCGCCTCCCCCGCTCCCTCTCCAAGTCCAAGAAAAAAGCCCGCGTCCACACCCTCATCGACCAGCTCGGCCTCCGCTCCGCCGCCTCCACCGTCATCGGCGACGAAAGCCACCGCGGCGTCTCCGGCGTCGAACGGCGCCGCGTCTCCATCGGCGTCGACATCATCCACGACCCCATCGTCCTCTTCCTGGACGAATCTACCTCTGGGCTCGACTCCACCAACGCCTTCATGGTGGTGAAGGTCCTCCAGAGAATCGCTCAGAGCGAAAGCATCGTCATCATGTCTATCCATCAACCTAGCTACAGAATCTTAAGCCTCTTGGACTGCTTGCTCTTCCTCTCCGGAGTCGAGGACGCGAAGGAGGTGGTTGAGGAGGAGGAGGTCTTCCGCGAGGAGAACGGTTTTGGGTGTGGTTGGAGGGTGACGGCGATGAAAGGGTAGTGTGGCTTTGCACGGTGATATTAGGTCTCATTTCTACATCGGTCCTAAGCAAAACCGATGTAGAATTTCTCATATTTACCTAACCAATGTAAATATGTTTGTACTTTCTATTTATTTATAAGTTTGTCACCACATTTATAATTTACATCGATTTTACTAGAATCGATGTAAATATAACGATGTTAAATAATATTTTTGTAGTAGTGAATAAGTCACAAATTTGCTCTCCTTTCACTTAAAAACTATAAAATCCAAGCATCTAACAACACAATTCATACACTCTCATCATGAACAACCCAATCCACACAAATAGAACAACATGCAACAACATACCAACTACAATCATCAAAAACACCTCAACATGCTTCACCCACTCAAAACTTGCAAAAACATGAATTTCATCACTTAATCCTCGACATAGCCACAAACTAGATGCAATTCAATGACATACAATACTAAAAACAACCAAGTGTCTAGTTTTAGTTTCTTTTACCTTGAAGTCAAAGTGAATCAATAGAAAGGAGAAGGATAAGAAAGGAACACTTTCGAGTTATCATCAAAGCTTCACACCAACCCAACCTTGATTCGTAGCTTCCAACTTCAAATCAACAATCAAACGATGACCCTTACATACTCGAGGAGCTTAAAAGAAGAAGAAGATCAAAATTTCAAAGCTTCTTTCTATAATTTATCTCTCCAAAAATCTTAAGAATGAACTTATGAAGTTTGATTCTCAAAAGAAACCTTGTATATTTATTTTCTTAAGGTTAAACAAAATTTGTGTCTAAAGAAACAATTTAAAACACTTAAAGACTCTTTAAAAAATTTTCAACTCTTAAAATTTTTCTACAATACATGTTAAAACATCACAACACATAATTATTGATAAAAATATAATAATTAATAAATGAGTACAGTGATACACACATCTTGTTCACTTAATATATTGAAGATAATTTTATTTGACATGGATATAATTATTATAAATAGTAAATTTTTCTTTTTCAAGTATTTAATATATGTGTATAAACTTAAACTAAACAATACTAATTAAACAAAATATTTGATGTTGACGAGAGTTTAAAATCATATATGTTTTTATTTTTATGTGACATGTATCGGTTTACTTCGTTAGGATGCTTACATTGATTGTTATTATTATTTATGTAAAACTAAAGAAGTATATTATATTTATCTATTTTTATAAAAGAAATAATTGATAATGCATGCTTTACAATTGTATTAATATAAAAGAATTAAATAAAGTTGATGGTTCGGTTTCAAATAAAACTGTACATTAATAATACATAATTATATAATTAAAGATAAAAAAAATATAAAAATGTTCTTTTAAGAAAATAAAGTAAGTTAAAAATATTATAAAGTCGAAGAAAATAAAATAAACACATTCTGTTCAAGATAACATTCTAATCCTAACTTATATATAAAAAGATATTAAATATTTAATTTTATTTAATATTGTTGTAAAATAAAATATAAATATATCATTATTATTTGTAAAGTATGGTATTTGCCGAGGGTTACATCTCAGATCTGTGTACTTCTTTGGACGTACAGTCACGGACTGACAACAACATGCATTACAGATAACGCTTATATCCCATACTCAGGAAAAGCTGTTATCACCTATCAGCGACAGTTCACAGAACAATTAATAAAGTCTCATAGATACTCAGTTTTATACTTTTATTATTATTTTTTTAAAATAAGGTAAACTTTTATGCCTTGTTTAGAGGAGAGGAGAAAGTTCAAGGAATATGAGATAAAAGGTAAAAATTATATATATAAGAAATAGTGTAAAATTTATAATTATTTGATATAATAGGATTAAATGAAAAATAATAAAAAATTAATATTTTAAAATTTTATTTTATATAATTAAATTTTTATATAAAAATATATTATTTAAATAATTATATTTTTATCTTTTATTAATTAATTATTTAGATAATAGTATAACATTAATTTTGTCCAAATATTTTTTTTTTAAATTTCACACAAATCTACTCGAAAGAGAGAAAAATTAAATTTATTATAATTTATTCACAAATACACTTTATGTTTTATGTTTTGTTTGAGAGAAAGATTGAAGGAAATAAGAGAATAATATGTGAGAATTGATTTGATAGAAAATAAAGTAAAATTTGTAATTATTTAATAAAGTAGAATTAGGTATAAAATAGAGAGAAATTAATAATTTAAAATTATATTTTAATTAAATCTAACAATTATTTAGTAGAACGAGACAAAAAAAATGTATTTTTTTTCTTAAATTCCCAACAAATATCTTTTCTTTTAAGGGTATTTTTTTTCTTATATGGGATTCACCTCTATTTATCCTCAAATCCTTACAAATCACTCTCCAAATAACCTTTTTTTTTATAAATTCTTTACAAGTCATCATTCTTCTCTTCTAATCCACTCTTAATCGTGTTTCTAAATATACTCTTAAATTATCTCCTTCAAACACATTTTTTTAGTTCCTTAATAATCCTTCACTTTCTTTTCTATTTCCTATTAAATTACCTCTCTCAAACATACATTCAACTAAAACTTAAAAGTTAGTGATGGATTTCTTTGAATAGTGAATTTATTTAGATTTTTTTAATAAAAAATTATATATAGAAATTACTAATTACATACTTAAAAGATAAAGTTATCTATATAACTAATTGCACTTTTTTGTCGGTTACTATTATGATATTGACTATCATAAATTAAATGACTTATTCGTTGATTGTTTATCTTTATGGATAAGAGATGGAATGAGTCTTGTTGTGACTATAATATCATAGTGTAACTATTTTGTTTGGACTTCGATCATTTCTCGTATAAAAAATAATTTTCTTATTAATAGAGATGATAATAAATAAGACTTTAAACAAGGGTTTATAACTTGACCTATTTAAAGTTTGATATAACTTAACATATTTAATAAAAATATAATGTTTAAACTTAAAAAAAAATATTTAAAAGGATTGAATTTAAACCTATAAAAAAATTAAGTATATATATACATATATATATATAGAAAAGTTTGGATTTACTAAGGATATTTTTTTATATATATATTATGAGGCATAATAAATAGAGATTTTTCATATTTGTATATAAATTTTGAGAAACAAATTGAATAAAAAATTCACAAAATCTTCCTCTATTTCAACAAATAAAACTTTATTATGCTTTGTTCAAAGTTGTTTTGATTTTTACAAAATGATTTAAAATACTTGGACTAGTATTTAGTGAGAAAAAAAGTAAGTTAATTACTTAAATTATTTGTTTACCAATAATATATCATTGTAGATGGAAAAAAAAGTGAAAGTGAAAAGAAAAAAAATACTCTTTAAGTCATTTTTATAGATTTTAAAAATTGGTTATACCAAAATATCTTAATTTAAAAGCGTCCTGTAATAACTCTTACATATATATATATATATATATATATATATATATTAACAATATAATTAAATAAAATTTTGTAATACAAAAAAACTAAATTATCAATATTTTTAACACTTCTACTACATTTAAACTCGTACGAAATTAAAAAATAAAAAATGAAAATTTTGACTATGATTATTCTTTTTCTTCATCTCCATGATTGATTATTTATAATATTTTAAAAGGGATATAAAAAATATTTTATTTTTTTAATAGGATTATCTTCTTTCATTATGATATTTATGCGAGTATTGATTAGTGTACATAACTATATGGATATGTATGAGATATCCTTATTACTTAAATTTTCTATTTTAATTTTAATTTTTAAATTATAATAATAATAGAGTAAATCATTTTTATCATAAATAAAAAAAATAACTCGTATATATATCTAAAAATAAATTTATTAATTTATTTAAAATTAAAATTATTATTTATTTAATATTATTAATGCAAAATAAATCTTCAAATAGATTATAAATAAGACCAAATTTTTAAAAAATCAGATTAAACCTATAAAAACTTATAATAAATAATATTACAGATTTAAACCTTAATTTTATAAGACATACTTACACATATTATCCACTAACATTTCTCCTTGTTAATTATATGTCCCATGTTGCAGATTTAAGTACATCAATAAAAAGTTTGATTTAATGATAACGATATATACAAGAAAAATTTATTAAAAAAATAAAATCTTATTTTGATTTTACACCTACGAACTAATTTTTGACTATCAATTTTGATTTTCTGACTGTAAAAACAAATAGTTAGAAAAGAGAATTCATTATAATTGTCCGTTCCAAAATAACTTATTATCTAATTATTATTTACTATATTTCTTTAATTAATCATTAAGTATTAAGAATTTTTTACGTAAATATTATTTTTTTTAAAAAAATTACCCAATTAACCACTGTGCAGGTTTATTTACAGAGATAGAACCATTCACTGTTCAAGCTTAGAATTCGGTTCCCGGGGAACCGAATTCTGAGTTGGTTTTATATAATTTTTTTTTTCGTGTTCGCAGGGAAACGTGGGCAGATGTTGGAAGCGGAACGGCCCGTTCCGAAAACAGAACGAGTCGTTCTGCTTAAAGGAACAGAGTGAAATTTCTGAAAGTAAAACAGGCCAAGAACGGCCCGTTCTTAAAGCTGGAACGTCCCAAAACCAAATCCTACTTCATCAGAAATCATCTCCGTATGATGAATCTCAATATGATTTTGTGTGTACATTTTTGACACATTCCTACTTCTTAAGGATATATAATATATCATTTTAATTTCTCAAATTAGACCCACACCAGCCACGAGTTGCGCGAGGCAACATTCTGCCCACCCAAACCACACTTCGTTAATTCGTTTAAGTAATGTGGACCCACATTTTTCTTTTAAAAATTTCACTCACAAAATTTTAAAAAAGAATGATTGTTGTTTGTTACATGACATAAACAGTTATAAAGAGGAATGATATACGTTCCAGATTGTGAACAGGAGACAATTACATTTGACATTAATTATTTTGTGACATGTCATGTAATTGGATGAAATATTAATTAATGATTGAATTAAATTTTATTGATTTGAAAAGAACAAAAAATAATTGGTTTTAAAAAAAAATCATCATAATGATTTGAAATCTGAATTAAACTTGCATTTTCTACAAGGATA